AAATCATATCTACTCACAATAAATATATTCTGTTATGCTAATTTTTGATGTTTCTCCAACCATTTAAGTTTTTGACAATAGATATGAATTAAGATTTTAAAAGTTGAATATATAGTATATTCTTGTTTCTGCAGCAAATCCTTAAAAGAGTACTATTTTTCCTAACACCCACACACAAAACGCATCTCAACTACCCTGCTGCTTTCGTCCTACCCTAACCCCCATCGCTGGTTAAATAGGCTGAAAATCCAAACCCTTCACAACATTTGTCTGACAAGAACGCACAATTATAAAGATGACTGTAGCCCACGAAATCAGTTACCATTTAAACTTAAAAATGCCAAGATTTATTTCATCCCATGTTTTATTAAATCACCTAACTCACCACTTCTTTTATCTGGTATGAAAAATCAAAGGTTTATTCATTGTTATTTCAAATCTTCACATCAACCAGTAACACTGACTCATAGAAAAGGCCATTCCGAAAAGTGTCACATTTGAATTTTTGTAAGTAGTAAATAATGACAGAGACTAAAAATCATGGGGAAAACAATGCTGAGGTTAAATGCCCATTTCTAGTCTCCACTTTCATGCTCAAGAATCCTAAAACAAATTCTAAATTGTCAAATTAGAGTTCGTTCCCATCCAGAGTGGCAGACTTAATGCTCCATTAACCTGGTCTGCTCTCAGCCTCCAATGGAAAGAGTCACAGTCATTCCACTTTTAAGGAAAAGACAGTACTGCTGAAGTACATTCCAGAGGTCTTTTCATAAAAACCATCCTGGTGCTCCATCTGCATGTGCAATCTGCTTGTGTGTTTTCAGCCAGCTTGCATGGGCAGATTAATGCGTACAATTAGAAAGCAACCTCACAGGCATTCAATAAACTGCCTTCATTATTACACTCAGGAGAGTCCCTTTGGATGTCAATAAAAGCCTAGTTTTCTGCCTGTTAGCTAAATAATTGACAACAGTAAAAATAATCAGAAGCAAAGGAACGGAGTCAGGAACAAGGTATTAACAAAGAGCACATTAAGCTGTACACAGTGGTGACCCAGGTTACTATCTGAGCTTTGTCTCCAGCAACTTGGATTTATAGTCTATTCAAGCTCATGGTTGCCCTTCTCAGCAGAAAAAAAATACTACTCTGCCCTGCTATTTAAACCACACATCACAGCACGTTGAACACCACCAAGGACATGGGCACTGACTAGTCTGAAAGAATTTCCTATTTGTGTTTCTATTCTGTGTGCCTTAGTTTTGATGGTTTCAGGGAAATCTACTTTTTTCTTTATTCTTCCTTTTCTTTTTTTTTTTTTTTCAGGAGCAGCCTGTTTAGTCTGGTAAAATCTGCACTATTAAAATTCTAATAGTTCTCCTAGACAATTTTTCCACTATAAACGGATTCTAAGAAGGTATGATAAAGACTTCTTACTCAAAGGATCCATCTTTTCTAGAAGTCCCTTTCACACTCCTAGCTCTACAATGGCTATTCATTTCATGAGCTACTGCACTTTTAATTTCAAAAGTAATTCAAAACAAAATACTTAAAAAAGAACTCACACATATACCTCTTCTTGTATTCCTCAATAGGCTTTAAAAATCAATTTGAGACACCTCTCATTTTTAACCACCTTCTTTTTTTCCAGGTTAACTGGGACCTTTATGATAAGGAGACGAAAAGCAAGAGTGAAATGTGCATTTAATTGAATTCAATTCCACTGATAATGTGTATGGTAGCTGGAGGTAGACCCTTTTTCTCTTTACAGAAAACAAAAGATCACCAATCTCTAGCATTTAGTGAAATACAAACTCAAGAAGCTGGAAGATTAGGAGAGAAAGGAGATCGGAGACACAAGCTTCAAGGTCCTTTAAAACCCTAAGCATCTCTCATCCTCATCAGAGTTTTTAAAATTCTGCAGAGAATGGACTTGTACAATTTCTCAGTCTGGTACCTAATACCCCTCACTGGTAAGTAGGTCTTTCCTTGTCCAATATAAAACTAGCATACCACAGCATAAATACATTTATTCTTATTTGTGATTCCAGGCTACTAATGCCCTTATCCCATTCTCTTACCTCCCTCAACTCCTTTAGCTGGACCTAGAAATAAACTCTCATCCAGGGCTTTGAACTGGTTCTCCCCATTTCAGTCATGGCCAAGAAAGAGAAACTGGAACAGACCCAAATTTTTAAAAATTTGGGTAAAGCAGAATGATATCCGAAATGGGAAAAATTATGGGTCCAAGCCCTGTTAGAAACTCAGTCTCCCTCTTAGAAAACAAGAAGAGCATATGAGTTGCATAGCAACCAAATCTCTTGCCCCTCAGATTTTGAGCAGAGTTGGAAACAGTAGTGCCCAGCTCAAAGACAAAGGCTGACAGTGCTGCTGAGAATGTGTGTCGTTCACAGTCCTGCCAATAATCCAGTCTCACGCATCTGGCTCCTGAAAGGACTCACTACATCTCTTCTGAGTCTCCCATTCCAGGGCTTCAATCTGTAATTTTTCCTGTTCCAGTTACCTTTCCAGAGCACCCAAATTGTAAAAATCGGGTCTGTTCCAGTTTTGCTTCATCAGCCATGACTGAACCAGTTCAGACTGGTTCAAAGCCCTGCTCTCATCCATTCTCTACCAAGGATTGTTGTTGTTAGCTGCCCCTGAAGTCGACCTCAACTCATGATGACCTTATGTCCAAAAGAACAAAAACTCTCCTGGTCCTGCATCATCCCCACAATCAGCGACACGTTCAAGTCCATAATAGTGGCTATTGTGCCAATCCATCACACCAAGGGTCTCCCATATCCTTGCTGGATCTCTACTCCTCTAGCGACAGATCCCTCCTGATAATATGTCCAAAGCAAGCAAGCTGGACAAAGTTCTGTTGTGATTTATAAGGTTTTCATTGGCTTATGAAAGTACTTTCGGAAGTACATCACCAGGCCTTTCTTACTAGTCTGTCTTAGTCTGGACGCTCTGCTGAAACCTACCCACAACGGGTGCCCCTACTGGTATTTGAAATACCAGTGGCATAGCTACCAGCATCATCCCAACATGCAAGCCATCACTGTATGGCAAACTGACAGACATGTGGTGGCTACTCACGAAGAAGGAGGTAATAATACATTAATCTACTGCCTCCCTCCTGCCGTCTCTCTCTTGAAGGCAGTCAGTTTCTCCTGGTTTTTAGTTTCTCGCCAACCCCCTTATCCCTACGCCTGCCTTAGAACAAGACTGAAGAGAGACAGGCTATGGATTCTGTGGCTAAAATGAGAGTATAGTAATACCAATTTAAGGGGAATAACATCACTTGCTAGCATTTCCACCCTATCCTATGCCATCTTCCACCTGTTTTCTGGGCTGGTTAGCTCAGGCCAGATTACCTAGAGTGCTCAGTGGCAAAGTAAAGGACTCATAAACTTCTTTTTCCCTTCCTGCCTCTGAGTCATAAAGCAAGAAGAAGCTGTGTTGTGATAGAGGCAGGATAATTTCAGTGGTATGAAAACACCAGAGGAGGCTTTTCTTGGAGGAGGAATACACTCTAGGGTGTCACATACGCTCACCCCAAATGAAGAGTGATCTTAAATTGTGTAAATGAGGGGCAATAAAGGGAAAAGAGAAGAGGAGGCAGCCAGAAAACAGTCCATATGAAACAGGAAGCCAATTACTAGTTCTGCATCAGAAAAGCTTGTGCATAGTCTCTACAAAATAAAAGTTGTATGATCACATTCAACAAGGCCCTCTGTGAGAAGTATCATTTCAAATCCCTATAATGTTCAGGGACTTTTATGCCATTTACATAAGTTATTCCATTTAATCTTTACAAATGAACTATGGAATAGATATCTTTAGCCCTGTTTTTAAAATGAGAAAACTGCAGCTTAAAGAGGTTTAGTAGTTTGTCCAAGGTCAAAGCTGGGAAATGGAGCTGGGACTGTGAACCCACATCTGTCCAGTTCTAATGCCACTAGATTTGGAATTAATCCAGGAGCCAGGCTCTTTGGTTTTTATCTACTCTTTTAAGCAGTGGGCAGGTAACCTAGCACACAAGCTTATCCTTAAAGCCTATATAATAGCAGAGCTGATTATCTTCATTATAAAGCACATAGTAGTTGCTCTATATGAAACACTGATGGTTCAGTGGCAGAATTCTTGCCTTCCATGCAGAAGACCCTGGTTCAATTCCCAGCCAATGCACCTCATATGCAGACACCACTCATCTGTCAATGGAGGCTTGTGTGTTGCTATGGTGATGAACAGGTTTCAGTGGAGTTTCCAGACTAAGATGGATTAGGAAGAAAGGCCTGGTGATCTGCTACCAAAAATTAGCCATTGAAAACCTTTAGGATCACAATGATCTGATTCTCAACTGATCGTGGGGATACCACAGGACCAGGCAGCATTTCGTTGCACTGTCCATGGGGTTGCCGTGAGGTGGGGGCAGACTCAACAGCAGCTAACAACAACAGTTGTTCTCTCCATATTAGCTGATGCTATTCACAAGTCACACTGGGAAAACTACCATGGTGTATGACCACCAACTGGGAATTCTGCCAGTAACAGCTAATGATTTCTCAATTCTCAGTCTAGAAAAGTATGGCAATTATTTAATAGTCCTCAATCCAGGAAATAAATCCCTTGTTAGTTTAGACTCTACTTGGACTGGTTTTCTTATATTGGTATTTTGGAAGTCATCATAACTAATCTGAAGTACCTGGGATCACCAAATAATCAAGCCTTCCTAGTCATTTATAATGGAGAATTCTTCAAATTTAGCAGTACAGTCTCTAATTTACTGACTACTAAAGAATACTTGGGTGAGTACAGATGTCTCCAACCTCAGAACCTTCCTTAGATAATGACAGAGTTCAAATACATAATTAATACAACAGCCAATAATCCAATACCATATGCTGTTTTGAAAAGTTACCATCACCTAGAATATAAAAGCAGGATGAACAATACATGTATAAAGACATGAGGATCTGAAAACTTAAACTTACTATTGCTGATGTTCTCTAAATGCGTCTCTTCTGAGGTTTTCCTGAAGTCTCTTTTTCTCCTCTAGTTTATTGCTCTGAAAGCACAAAGATCAAAATATAATATATTAGAGAAGCTTTAAGCAGAATCATGATGTTAAAGTTACCCAGCATCCAAATTCTGTAGTCCTGTGACTTCCATAGTCTAATATGGAACCCTACAAGGACTTCCAAGATGGTATTCCTTTCAGAGCCTATGAGCACTAGAATGGAATCTAGGAGCCCCAAATTATCTCCATAGCTCCCCTCACTCAACCTGATGGGTATAATCAAAGAATCAGTATTTCATACTTTTATTCTTTAGTTCAAACAGTAGGAACATTTACATTTTAAGCAGTGTTTCCAAAATGTTCACATGGAAACATGAGATTTCCATACCAAGTATGTTAAATTAAAATTATAATAAGTGGTTATGCAGTTCATTAAAAAACTTATATACACACCACTTCCCACCAAAGCATTCAGGAAAAGCTTTTCAATAAGCCAACCAAACTCCCTTCTGACTTAGATTCAGATACTTAAAGCTGTTGAGAATTGATGTCATAAAAAAAAAAAAAAGAGAGAGCGAGAGAGGCATCCACTTGAATAGGAAAGAGTTCATTTTTTTTAAATTACTTATTAGGAGAGCACAGAGACAAGGACTTCATAGCTGATATGACTGTCACCATGGCTCTGGCATATTTTAATCCATCTTAAAGAATCCAGGAACACTTGCTTTTTGCCCACCATGATACAACTGTTCTTTTCTTGAACTTGCCTATGAAAAACAAGCAAAATTCCTAGACAACAAATTTAATGGAGAGTTGAAGAAAGTTCCATAACACAGAAGAGATATGAAATTATAAATGACTCCCAGGGAGACAGCTGGGTTTGCTTTAACAAAAAGCCTGGATCTGCCCAGCAGGAAAACCCATGGAAAGGAAATAATGGAAATCATCACTTTCAAACCCTGGCATAAGTTTGGTTCCATCTTTTTTTCTTTTTTTTGGGGGGGGGGGCTGTTCATATTGTTCATTTCCATGAAAGTCTTCATTTGTAGAACAATTTACTACTCTCCACTTTGAAAGGCAAAATGGATTATGATTTCAGTTTCAGGAAAAAAAAAATTGGCCAAAGAAATTAGCGGAATCAATTACAATGCAAAGCAACTAGATTAGTAATGGAACAGAATTCTACGAAACAAACGAATAGAGAATTGTGGAACAGAATAAACATAATTCCAATCTAGTAAAAATCCTGACTCATGAGCCCAAAAGTGATCAACTGTGATAAGCTTCCCACACTCTATACACCCTGAGCCCAGCAAAAAAAAAAAAAAAGAAAAAGGTAAAAGATGGCAAGAAAGTACTAGGTATTGATTAAACCAGGATTAGGAACATTACTTCCAGAAGAGTGACAAAACATACAAGCATCAATAGACAAAGGCTGGGTTCCTTTAGCAAGGTCAGAATTTGAGAAGTTAAATGCTTTTAATCTCATCACTAATAGATTATCGAAGTACACAACTTCAACTTCACAAAACAGTTACACAGCAGCTAAATTACATCCTAAAAAGGTCTGCCTACTCTTCAGCAGAAGTCTGGAGAGAAGTATTTTCCAAAATATTAGATGATTTGAGAAATTTTATTCAATACCTACCAAGGTTGGTTCCAGATTTAGTATTTAATCAGACTGTTTCTTTCCATTTAACAGTGACTTAAGCAGTCACTCAAACATTCTTACAACTGTATACAAATGCAGAATGTTAAATCTCTAAGAATATGAGATCTAGAGAAAGAAAATATGGAATCCATTCCAGCTCCACCATCGCTGACTGACTGATCTTAAGCAAATCATTCAATACTCCTGAATCTCATTTATTCAACAAGCATTATCAAATGCCCATTATACGGTGGATACTGGGAATACAGATATGAACACAGCAATGCCTACCCTGGAGAAACTCAGAGTCTAGCTGGGGAGACAATCAAGAAAGTAATATGACAGTATGGTGTGTTAAATATGTTAGGGGATTGTTGTTCTTGTTTTAGTTGCCATTACATTGGCTCTGACTCATGGAGAACCCATGTACAATTGAACAAAATGTTGGCAGACCCTGTGCCATCTTCATGATCATTGGTATGTTTGAGTCCACTGTTGCAGCTATTGTTGTCAATTCACCTCATTGAAGATTTCCCTCGTTTTCACTGACCCTCTACTTTACCAAACTTGATGTGCTTTTCTAGCGACTGTTCTTTCCTGATGACATGTCCAAAGTTTAAGAGAGTCAATGTCTCACCATCCTCGCTTCTGAGGAACATTCTGGTTGTATTTCTTATAAGACTGACTTGTTTGTTCTTTTGGCAATCCACAGTATATTCAATATGCTTCACCAACACCATGTTTGAATATATAAATTTTTCTTCTGTCTTCCTTTTTAACAATCCAACTTCTGCATGCATATAAGGCGACTGAAAAGACCAAGGTATGGGTCAAATGCACTTTAGTCATCAAAGTGACATCTTTGCTTTTGAAAACTCTAAAGAAGTCTTTTGCAGCAAATTTTCCCAATGCAATACATCATCTGATTTCTTGAATCCTGCTTCCATGGATGTTGATTGTTAATCCAAGTAGAATGAAATCACGGACAACTTCAATTTCTTCTCCATTTATCATGTTTTTATCAGTCCATGTTAGGGGATAGAGGTTTACAAATAATGTGATGTGAATACACAGAAGAAGCACAGAAGTGTGTGAATGGGAAATATTCAAGAGTTCCACTTCACTTATTCAGTGCCTACTAAGTGGTAGACCCAATGCTGGGTCCCTGGAGCCAAGAAGTTGAGTAACACTCGGAATGTGGTTTTTATCCTCAGGTTCATGGATAAGGTGCATGTTGGAAATATGCTCACTTTTATGGAGAAAGGGCCCACAGCTTTCTTTAGATTCCCTAAGGGGTCGATGATCACATAAAAGGATACAAATCATGAATCTAATTAGAAGTAGAAATTATAGACAGAGACCAGTCTTTAAAAACAAGCAAGGCTTTTCCAGGAGGAGAAGGATGTGGTGGGGACAGGGCTACTGCACTCCATTGTGCCGGTTGTTTACTGCCCAGGGGAGCCCAGCAGAGAGGAGAGGAAAGGCTGAAACAGAGCCAGCTCACCAAACCATGCACCCTGACATGGGGCTACTTCGGCTCAGAGGAGGTGTCTTTTCTATTTCTCACGAAGGCACCATTTATCACCAGTCGCGTGCCCATGGAGCTGTCTGCCTGGTGGAAGAATCAGTTTCTAATTTGCACGAAAGCAATGATGGACTAGTGGCATTCCCAGGACTTGGTGTGTTTTCAAAGCATGAAGGCACAGGAGAATATGCCAGTTCTGGGAACCCCAAGATGCTCATGGATAAACTGAAAGGTGTTTGCAGAGAGATTGGTGGAAGAAAAGGTTGAAATAGTAGAAAGGGCCAACTATAACTGAACTTACATGCTAAGTTAAGGAGTTTGGACTTCATAAAAGGCAATGAGGAGCCATTATGCTATTTTGAGCAGGTAAGTAAGCACTTCACTCTGAGAGCAACATGCAGGAAGAGCTGGAGAAAGGGCGGGACCACAAATGTAAAAGAACCAACGGGGAGGTTCTCACAATCATCCAAGAGTCCAAACTAAGACACCAGGGACGGAGAGGAAAGGACAGACACTAGAAAAATGCTGGGGCAGAAATAATAGGAGGGATGACTACATGGATGTGGAGGAATAAGAAAGGGGGACAGAGAGCAGAATGAGTACCATTTAAGGGTACCAGAATGAATATGAGTTCACTTTTGAACCTGTTGGATTTGGGGTATAATTATGTGACATCTAGGGAGAAATATCAAGCATGCAGTTAAATATAAGGCTCTGGGATTCAGAAATGTGGTCTGGGCTGGAGACATGGATTTCAGAAATCAGCAGCACAAGTGGGAACTAAAGCCTTAAATGTGGGTGAAAGCACCTAAGGAGAGGATAGCATGAGCAGAGAGATACTAGAGGAGACCAAAGGATGGGTCTGGGGGATCATCAGCAGTGGGAAAACAAGCAGAGGAAAAAGAGCCAGAGGAGATCCAGCGGGGTGGAATGGCAGTTAAGACTTTGAAGGGCTATTTAATAGTTAAAATACTATAAAACAGTTGCCTTCGAGTCAATGCCAACTCATGGTGACCCCATGCATTACCGAGCAGAACTGTGGTCCATAGGGTTTTCTTGGCTGTAATCTTTATGAAGCAGTTTGACGGACCTTTCTTCTGTAGAGATACTGGATGGGTTTGAACCGACAACCTTCAGGTTAGCAGCCGATCACAAACTGCTTAAGCCACCTAACCTTCTAAAATACTGTAAAGTGTTTAAATAAGCTAGAGATTGAAATGGCTCCAGTAAGTTTTTCAATTGAGAACACCATTGGTGATCTTATAGGAACAGAAGCCAAAATCAGGCCACTAAGGAAGAAATAAACATACGGAATCAAAGAAAGTTAAGTTGCTAAGCCCACTGAGCTCAATATCACCCAGGGAACATTTTTAAGAGAGAGATTCTTGGGTTCAGATGATTTCTATACACTCAGTCCACAGACTGGCATTTGGGAAACAAGGTGATAGAGAAATCTTTCAATAAGTCGAGCCACCATGTAAGGGATGGAGGAGTTGAAAGCAAATCAGAGTAATGAGAGACTTGAGTATCATTATATCCTGAGAGAGAAAAAAAGCAAGAGAGCAACAGGAGAAAAGAGGGCTGAACTGATGGAGCAGCATGGTTCCTGAGGAGCTAGGAAGACACAGCGGAAGCACAAGTGGAAGGATTCAGCATAGAAACAACGAAAGGCACCATCTTATTCCTCCTGAGATGGGATGGCGTAGAAGCAGCAAAGGAAGAGTAAGGAAGTGGAAAAATAAAAGTACTTGAGGCCTGATGATTTTTATTTCCTGTGACATGGAGATGAGGTTATCTGCTCAAAATGAAAGGATAAGCTAAAGGGCATACGAAGTCATGCAAGATATTGGTCAGTAGAGACGGTTCTGCAAT